AAAAAAAAAAAAAAAAAAAAAAAAAGATCATATATAATTAGTGACCATAGGGGTGGTTCAGGTCATGAATGCCTTTGTAGTCACTGTAGTCAAAAAAGGCTGTTAATTGAGCCTCAAGGAAGGTTTTGTGGAAGGTGGAAGTGGTTAGGCCACAGGTGCTGGTAGAATTCCAACATGCAGATGGATATTCAGGAAGGTTCCTCTCCTAGCAAAGCACAGCAGAAGCTTGAGTAGACTCCTTGGAGGGCAGAGACCAGGCCAAGCTGATGGGAATGGAAAAAGATTTTTGGAGGGAGCAGTGGGACAAAATCGAGGGCTTTCAATTTAGGTCGGGCATGGGTGCCATTGATCTTCCTGCTGCTGCTTCAGTGGACTCCGGGAAAGGGTATCTTTCAATGTTCCGGAAATGTTTGCTGGGCATCCCATTTACTTCTGCCCCTTCCTGCTGGTGTCCTCCCAAAGTTGAAGAGAAGGATAGTGCTGTTGGGAATCGAGCAAGCTTTCTGGACTTTTGTTCTGCCAGGCTTTACATGGCTTTATTGTGCCATGAGATTAGGTTAATTCATCGTCTTACGCACGGTAACATAAGCCCTGCCAGCCCAGTTCATAATCAGATTACATTTGAATGGCCTGGTCTACTTTTGGGATAGTGATTACTGACTAGTATATTCATTCTAAGGGGAGTTTTGTTTTTTGTTTTTTGTTTTTTGTTTTTTTTTTTGAGGCAAGTTCTCGCCCTGTGGCCCAGGCTATAGTGCAGTGGAGTAATCTCAGCTCACTGCAGCCTTGACTTCTAGGGCTCAGGTGATCCTCCCACCTCAGCCCCCTGGATGTCTGGGACTACAGGCATGAGCCACAACACCCAGCTAATTTTTTGCATTTTTTGTAGAAACAGGGTTTCCTCATGTTGCCTGGGCTGGTCTCAAACTCATGGGCTCAACCAGTCCTCCTGCCTTGGCTTCCCAAAGTGTTGGGATGACAGGCATGAGGCACTGTGTCCAGCAAGGGAATCTTAAAGATTGTAGTTATACTTGAAATATTTTTTTAAAGATAGGATTACCTAAATTTGCTATGGGTATGTATTTTTTTTAGACACTAGGAGTGGGGATTCCCATGTAGAACAACACTTAAAACAGAGGCAGTGCCAGAACTCAGATGTTCAATTTCTTGTATTTTTAATTTTTTTTTTTTTTTTTTTTTAATGGAGTCTTTCTCTGTCGCCCAGGATGGAGTGCAATGGCTCGATGTCGGCTCATTGCAACCTTCGCCTCCCAGGTTCAAGCAATTCTCCTGCCTTAGCCTCCTGAGTTGCTGGGATTACAGGTGCATGCTACCACGCCTGGCTAATTTTTGTATTTTTAGTAGAGACAGGGTTTCACTCTGTTAGCCAGTATGGTCTCTATCTCTTGACCTTGTGATCTGCCTCGCAAAGTGCTGGGATTACAAGTGTGAGTCACTGTGCCCGGCCTGTATTTTTATTTTTATGATTATTTTTTCTTTGTTTATTAGAGATGGGTTCTCATAATGTTACTCACACTGGTCTCGAACTCTTGAACTCAAGTGATCCTCCCACTTTGTCCTCCCAAAGTGCTGTGATTACAGGTGTGAGCCACCGCAACTGGCCAATTTCTTGTTTCTTAAGGGTAAAGATGTGCTAGAGGCCAGGCGTGGTGGCTCATGCCTGTAATTCCAACACTTTGGGAGGCTGAGGTGACAGGATTGCTTGAGCCTAGGAGTTCGGAATTAGCCTGGGCAATATAGCAAGACCCCATCTCTATCTTTAAAAAAATTACTAGAGACACACCAAATCTGAATCTTTTCATGTTTTCCACCAATATTTGGTTGCTTACTCTGTGCCAGGCTTTTTCTCGGAGCCTGGGGACACTGGGCTTCTGGCATCGCTGATAAGAGGCATCTTTTTGGAAACCGTAAACTGCTTGTTGCTCTGCATGGGTGGGGACTGTGTAGTTCCTGTAGTCTTGTTCAGTGCTGTCTCCCCTGTGCAGCCAATTTAGTGTTCTTGTTGATAAATCATGGACAAGGGAGTTATATTGTGTATCTGGATAAGGCTTCTGGCATTTTTCTGATTTCAGAAATAAGTAGTTGAGGTACATCTGAGAAGTCTTTTCCCCAAGTTTATGCAACCTCCTGTTTAAAGATTATGCTTCGGCCAGGCGTGATGGCTCACACCTGTAATCTCAGCACTTTGGTAGGCCAAGGCAGCTGGATCACTTGAAGTCAGGAGTTTGAGACCAGCCTGGCCAACATTTCTACTAAAAATGCAAAAATTAGCCAGGCGTGGTGGTGGGTGCTTGTAATCCTAGCTACTCAGGAGGCTGAGGCAGGAGAATCACTTGAACCCAGGAGGCAGAGGTTGTAGTGAGCTGAGATTGTGTCACTGCACTCCAGCCCAGGTAATAAAGCAAAAAAATACTTCACAGTGTACATATATGGGTACTTGGGCACACATGCCCATAGAGAGAAAACACATGGAATCTTTTTTTTTCATTCACAATGAATACTATATATTTTTTTTAAAGTTAAGTGGTTTCTTTCTGGCAGCTTTAGAGAATTTTTTTTTTTTTTTTGACACGGGGTTTCACCATATTGGTCAGGCTGGTCTTGAACTCTGGACCTTGTGATCTACCTGCCTCGGCCTTCCAAGGTACTCGGATTATAGGTGTGAGCCACCACGCCTGGCCAGAAATTTTTTTTTTTTAAGTTAAATGTTAATTGTATATATCCTAGAAATAATCGCAAGATCAAACGTAACCTTTGTCTTAAGCCTTGGGAGTTAAATAGACTTTAAAGCTTTCTTATATGATTCTATCTTAAGAGAAAATAAGGACATACCAGGCAATTTTATAGTCTCCATCCCTCTCTCCATAGCTGATTATGTATCAGTCACATTTGGGCTGACCTAGGAGCCCTGCTCACAAACCTTCAATGGCTCCAATTCTAAATCAAAGCCAAAGTCCTTGCAGTGGTCCATATGCCCCTCCCACCCTGCTTGCCCCTCATGGTGGGAGAACCATGTTTCTTCCCATCACTCACTGTGCTACAGCCATGCTGGCCTCCTCACCTTCCCTCCTTCACACCAAATATGCTCCTGCCTCAGGACCTTTGCCCTTACTGTTTCCTTTGCCTGGAACACTTTGCCCCCAGATTTGGGAAAATGACAATGATTGAGTTGAAGACCTATCTGAAAATTAAAGACCATGCTTGAATTCACATATCACTGTCTACTATCTTGTACTGTGCACACCGACTTCAGGGATGTGAGTGTCACGTGGATTGACATTTTCAAGTGTATTGAAGGTAGCCAGTGGCTGTCTAACTGCCCCCTCTCTGGTATGAGGGGTGCTCTGTGATAGCTGCTGCTTCTGGCCTTCTTTATCTTTGGCTCTCAACACTCTTGATCTCTCTCCCCACAACCCCCCACCGTAGTCCTGATTCTACTGCTCTTGCTGTTTCTTCGGAGGAGAACTGTGGTCAAAGAGCCCTTACTGCCCCCAGAGGATGACACCCGGGACAATGTTTATTACTATGATGAAGAAGGAGGCGGAGAAGAGGATCAGGTAGGTTTCTAAAACCATGGAAGCTCAGTGGTGGTGTCTTTATTTGGAAGAAGCAATTTCTTTATTTGGATAGAGAGAGGTAGGCATTTGAAACAACTCTGTATCACTTTGTATATTATCTTTTTAAGGCCAAGAAAGTAGACTGTCGTCATCATCACATCATCACCAACACAGCTAATATTTATCAATCCCATACTGTTCTGCACCTCAATGAATGAACTGAGGCACAGAGCACTTCAGTAACTTGTCTAAGTTTATACAGCTAGGAAGTGACAGAGCCAAATGGCCTGTCTCAGAGCCTGCACTCCTCATTGCCATTCTCCAGACATGACATGAACTTCAGCCAGATTATCTTTCACACAGAACAACTGGTCTGCTTTGTTTCTCTTGAGTTTTTAGTTAGACCAAACTGCTTTTCATCAATATTATATGTTTTTTTTTTTTTTTTTGAGACAGAGTCTTGCTCTGTTGCCCAGGCTGAAGTGCAATTGTGTGATTTCAGCTCACTGCAACCTCTGCCTCCTGAGTAGCTGGGATTACAGGCTCTGGCCAAAACATCCAGCTAATTTTTGTATTTTTTTAGTGGTGTTGGGGTTTCACCATGTTGGCCAGGGTGGTCTCAAACTCCTGACCTTGCGATCTGCCCATCTTAGCCTCACAAAGTGCTGGGATCACAGGCATAAGCCACTGTACTTGGCTGTCAATGTTATATCTTTAGTCCCTCTGTATTTCCTGATTTGGAAGATGATCTTAACATCTTACCCTAGAGTTGTCCAGGGAACTGTTCAGTGTCTTGGAGAGTCTACTTACCATGGGGGTTTGTCACGGAGTCCTGCTTTTGACTCAGGCCATAGAGTGAGGCACAATTTACTGAGCTCCATACAACATAGGGAGGAGGGTATACAGAGAAAAATATTGTTCCAGATTTGAGGGACTTCTAAGTCTAGGTGGGATACCAGATACATCGTATCAGTGAGCAATACAGCAACCAATCCCAGAATCTCAGCAGCACACAACATGCATGTCTTTCTCATGCACTGTGGGGTAGCTGCAGCAACTGCTGGTCTCATCTAAGCTCACGAGAATCTGTAGGATGGCTGGGGCTCTGCAGATTTAGGCAGCGTTTAGCTGAGTGGCTCTAAACTGCTAATTATATCCAGATCTGTTCCATGCAAGTCTCGTCTTTGTACCAGCAAGCTGGTGCCTTTTAGACCTTTTCCTGTGTCATGTGTTCCTGTCCCATTGGCTAAGCAAGTCACACGACAAAGCCCCAAATCAATGGAGGTGCACTCTTCTCACAGGCTAGGGTTGGGAGGGAGTGAATATTTGCCAAATAATTATCTCATCGTCATATCCTATGAAAATTAGTAAGGCACACAAACTATATCTGGATTCACACATGCTATACACAGTTCTTTCGGCTATATTTTTTCCAGTGCTATTTGGGAAACTTCTAGCCTGAAAGCTGTCATTTTGCATTAAACTGGTAAAGATCATACAGTTGGCAGTGAAGACATCATCCAATATTGTAATCTGTAAACCGGACTTAGCCCTGTGCATATGACTGTTTCTTATTCTTCATTGTACTTCTACCTTTTTCTCCAAAGGACTTTGACTTGAGCCAGTTGCACAGGGGCCTGGACGCTCGGCCTGAAGTGACTCGTAATGATGTCGCACCAACCCTCATGAGTGTTCCCCGGTATCTTCCCCGCCCTGCCAATCCTGATGAAATTGGAAATTTTATTGATGAAGTAAGTAATTCATGTGGAAAATCAAAGCATGGCTCATCTCTAAGCTCAGAAGGGAGGAGTTGTGTCAAAAATGAGAAAAAGAGTCTTTAGATTCTTTACTAAGTTTTCAGCTTCCCTGAGCCCTGCTTTCCTTAACCTGTGTCTCATCTGAATTTCAGATCTAATAGTGCTTTAAATTGCAAAGTCCGTGTGGCAAAACCAAGAATTGCCTGAAAAGATTTAGTAGATATAGAAATGAGGCTAGGGACATTCTAAGTAAATTTCATTTTAGTTTCACTAATGGAATTTACCTCCCTTGCCTCCCACTGCTGGTTGGGATATTAGGATAAATGTATATCACAAGTCTACCTGAGGATTAGAAAAATAGAATCTGTATTGTATATGTCAGAAATGCATTCAGCTCTAAATACAAGAAGCTGAAACAGATGGGAGTAGATATACCTTGTACAAATAGTAAGCTGGGGTGAGCAGTCTAGGCTGGTGGATCAGGCTGTTCCATGTTTCTGCTCTATCATCTTAGCATGTAGACCCTAGTTCTCAGGCTTGTTGCCTCATGATCACAGATGGCTGCCACACTTCCAGACCTTAGGTCTGTATTCCAGCAGGAAACGGTATGAAAGAGCAAAGCAGAGGGCAAAAGTCTGTCTTCTAGCAAACCGTCTTCTTACTCAACAAGGGAGTTGTCCAACCAGTTATTGGCCAGAACTATCAGAAGGCTGTGCCTACTTGCAAGGAAAAATAATAAGGCATTAAACGAATTAGCTTAGGGTAAGATGAGAAAGAACCCAGTAAAGGAATAGTCTGGCAGGGTTTGTTTCCTTAAGCTATGTTCTCTAATAACTTGCCTGGTTACTGGAATGGTGTTTGGGCTTGTCTGATGGTCCAGTGGCCCTCGGTGAGTCTCTCTGGTGAAGTCTGTGTTTGCTTTAGCTTCCTGTAGGAGTGGTCAATGAGGATTATGAGGCACTGCAGTGTTAGAAGTGACTAAGCCACATTCATTTTAGCCACTGGAGAAAACAGTAACCAGTTTAACCCCCTCTTTTATTTATTTATTTTTTATTTTTATTTTCATTTTTTGAAACAGTTTTATTCTTGTTGCCCAGGCTGGAGTGCAGTGGTGTGATCTTGGCTCACTGCAACCTCCGACTCCCAGATTCAAGCGATTCTCCTGCCTCAGCCTCCCAAGAAGCTGGGATTACAGGCACCGCTGGCATGGCTGACTAATTTTTGTGTTTTTAGTACAGACGGGATTTCATCATGTTAGCGAGGCTGATCTCAAACTCTCGACCTCAGGTGATCTGCCTGCTTCGGCCTCCCAAAGTGCTGGGATTATGGGGGTGGGCCACCGCACCTGGCTACCGACCCATTTTATATACATCTGGATTTGGGCCTTTCCTCCATTCACACTCATTTGCAAGTCATCACTTGTATTTGTAGTTTTTATTTAAATTATAAAAATAGTATGCTAAAAAAGAACAAGATCATGTCTTTTGCAGGAGCATGGGTGGAGCTAGAAGCCATTATCCTTAGCAAACTAACACAGGAACAGAAAACCAAATACCACATGTTCTCACTTAAATGTGGGAGCTGAATGACAAGAACTCATGGACACAAAGAAGGGAACAACAGACACTGGGATCTACTTGAGGGAGGGGCATGGGAGGAGGTGTTTGGTGTACAGGTTATTTCATCGTAGTTATCTTTTACAGAAAAGATTGGGTACTTGGCTTAATACCTGGGTGATAAAATAATCTGTACACCAAACCCCCACAGCGAGTTTACCATTTGTTACCTATATAACAAGGTTTCACATGTACCCCCGAACCTCAAGGTTTTTTTTTTAAAGTGTGCTTGCTATTTTAAAAATATAAATTATGGTGTGGGGGTGTACACCTGTTATCCCAGCTACTTGGGAGGCTGAGGCAGGAGAATCACTTGAACCCAGGAGGCAGAGCTTGCAGTGAGCTGAGGTCGTGCCATTGCACTCCAGCCTGGGTGACAAAGCAAGAATCTGAGACTCTGTCTCAGAATAAATATATTTTATTTATTTCATAAAATGAAAATATATAAAGAAAAAAAAAGGCCAGGCACGGTGACTCACGCCTATAATTCCAGCACTTTGCAAGGCCAAGGCGGGTAGATTGCCTGAGGTCAGGAATTCAAGACTAGCTGCACCAACATGGTGAAACCCCATCTCTACTAAAAACACAAAAATCAGCTGGGCGTGGTGGCGCACACCTGTAGTCCCAGCAACACAGGAGGCTGAGACAGGAGAATCACTTAAACCTGGGAGGCGGAGGTTTCAGTGAGCCGAGATCACACCATTGCACTCCAGCCTGCGCCACAAGAGTGAAACTCCATCTCTTCCTTAGTTCCTATACCCTCACTCCCTAGATTTAACTGCTAAGCATTTGTCATTCAGCCCTTTCCGGGCTGAAATGCAGCCTGCATGCACCAGTATGACTATCTCCAAAGTTTCCAGCTCTGCCCATCCCAGCTGGTGGTGTGGAAGCCCCACCCTTATTTGTGGGGACTCCATGCTGACTGATTGGTGCTTGTAACTCTCCTGCCTACATATAACTTATCATTTCACTTTCTCTTTCCATCAACAACATATCCTGTGCATCTTGCTGTGCCATTGTGTATAAATGCACTTTGTTGGTGTTCACTGCTCTGTGGTGTGCCACGGTCTGGGTATATTGTCATACGTTACATGGTGCTAGACTTCTTGTACCAGATGACAGGTGTGCCCTTCCTTTCACTAAAAGATCCTGTTGTCCCCTTTCTTCTTTAGAATCTGAAGGCGGCTGATAGTGACCCCACGGCCCCACCTTATGATTCTCTGCTCGTGTTTGACTATGAAGGAAGTGGTTCCGAAGCTGCTAGTCTGAGCTCCCTGAACTCCTCGGAGTCAGACAAAGACCAGGACTATGACTACTTGAACGAATGGGGCAATCGCTTCAAGAAGCTGGCAGACATGTACGGAGGCGGCGAGGATGACTAGGGGACTCGAGAGAGACGGGGCCTAGACCCGTGCGCTGGGAAATGCAGAAATCATGTTGCTGATGGTTTTTCAGTGCCCTTCTCTTGAGATGAGTTTCGGGGGGAAAAAAAGAGACTGGTCAGTGATGCAGTTAGTATAGTTAGAATTTCCACTTCATAGCTCTAATCGGTGTGTGTTAGAAAAGTTTTGACTTACTCCTAGAAGCTTTTTTTTCCCCCATCTCTCTTTACATGGTGGTGATGTCCAAAAGATACCCAAATTTTAATATTCCAGAAGAACAACTTTAGTGTCAGAAGGTTCACCTAGCACCTTGCAGATTTTCTTAAGGGATTTTGTCTCACTTTTAAAAAGAAGGGGAGAAGTCAGCTATTCTAGTTCTGTGGTTTTGTGTATATAATTCTTTTTTTTAATTTGTGCGCTCCCCCTCATTGCTACAAAGTCCCCCTGCCTTTTTTTTTTTTTTTTTTTTTTTTTTTTTTT